TGTTGGGGGGATTCGATAATATGGGTTAATGTAGCAACCACATTGTTTTTCATGTGAAACCATAAGAGTGTATATCAATAATACCTTAATAAAAAATTGTAATAAAAAATATTCTATTGCTTTTAGATGTTCTTACAAAGAGTTCTTTTTCAACTATCACCATTTACATGGCAGCAAAACAATTAGTAATAAATCCATTTTTCTGATAATATAGTGTTATTGCATAATCCTACCATGTTCCTCTCAGTGCACATATTCAGCTTCCACTATTCTGATAGCAGTAGATCAAAGCAGACTTCAGAGAGGCTCGCCCTGGCCCTCGTGAGGTATGTGGGGCCCTTTAGGTGGGGCACCTGCTGCTTCCTTACCTGTAGAACTGCCTCCCTGGTAAACCCAGCGGATCGGTGAATGCCCTTTCCAGGAGCATGAGTTGGTCATTCATGATTCTCACTGCAATGGGACTTTGAGAATAAAAAAAATATATTTTATTTAATAAATAAGGATAAGGCACAGGAAAAAAAAAAACTAAAATCAATAGGTTTTTAAGCAAATGCACATTAACAGTAATGCTTTACATGGTAAGCTATATATAACAGCAGGGGCATCTCTAGTATTTGTAAGCACACAGACATTGGGAAATTGTTTTTTAAGACTACAGACTTTTAGCAGAAAAAACAAAGATTTTTAATTCTTTCTAGGAGAACAATACATCAAGTTATTCTTAGTAAGCCATTTAGTTCTGCTGTGGAAGAAAAGAACAAAGGCTGAATAGCAGAGAATGAAGGGAAGGTGCAGAAATCTGAAAGGTGGAGAATTTGCACACAGTGCACAGGGACTCCCCTTTCACATTTGGAGTCTGTCAGCTCTTTTTTGGGGTGCTGCATAAATTCTCTGGGCTCTTCTACAACCCAAGGGAGAGGGGCCTTTCAGAATGTTGATACAGCTTTCTGCCAACATGGGAGATGTGAAAGCTTATTCTGACTAAATCTCAAAAGCACAAAGAAATAGGACATAGACACTACTGTGGAACAATTTATGCTTGTTAAGTAATGCTAACTTTTATTTTCAACCGAAATGGCAAAAAGGTAAACGATAAGAAAAAACTGTCTTAATAAAACATGAATTTCAATATTGGGCATAGGAGTATTGGGACTGTAAAGAAATACTACAAATGCACATAACTCCAGAGAACTACGAATTACCAGCAATAGTTACAAGTTTTAATCAATGCAAACTTCTGAAAGCACGTCTCTGGGAAGTTTTTTAGGCTACATTTAGAGCAGTGCTCCTCGAACTTCAACGTGAATGCAAACAAGACTGGAGAGTCTTGTTAAAGCACAGAATTCTAATTCACTAGGTCTAGGGTGGGGTCTGATATCCTACCTTTCTAACAGGTACCCAGATGATGTCAATGCTCCTGGTTTGCAGACCATAATTTGAGTAGCAATGATTTGGAGTCAAATGCTTATGAGTATACAGTTCATACTAGAAACCAAATTGCTTTTCAAAACAGTAGGCAGCTTTCCATTTGTAACTTACCTATTAAGATCAACTTGTGTAAGTCTTCTATGAAAATCTGAAGCAGCCACTGAGAAGTTTTTCACAGCGGAAAATAAGGAATCTTTTTTAACAATAAAAAAAATAGAATAAGTAAGGACAAGTGCTTTATATTTCAGAGGTTCGTTTTCCTGCCCTCCCGCCATTCCAGGCTGATGTGACTGAATAGATACTGAAACCACTTTTCTACTTATCTTTCTGGCAGATCCATGGAAATTACCAGAAAGTAGAAAAATGGCTAAACTGATTCTTAAGGAAATGACTTTCAAGAGTCCAGGACAAATAAAAAATTTAACTCAGTTTACCAGAAAGCTATTCATTCATTCATTCATTCAATGCGTATTTATTAGGAGAACTACTATATATCAGACACAGACACTGGATACAGCTATAAATGAGCTATGTTCCTGCAATTATTACAGAATGAAAATAATGCCAATCCTTGTTTGTTTTTTTAAGTAGTACATTTAAGATCTTGTTTAGAAGCAATCCGTGACCAGCTGATCTATCTAGACTGAGAAGCAAGATCAGGTTCAGTCTAGTCAAACTTTTACAAACTTTCTAAGGAAAGGGATTAGGTTCTCAATATATGCTCCTTATACAACCTACTTATCATTTTTCATCTGTTCAAAACTAGACATGAACATACATTAGTGATTTGCTTCTTGCACTAATCTTGTGATGCAGAAGTTACAGAATTCCTTGTACAGATAAAGCACTTACAGCTCCAGACATGGGGTTTCTATGCACAGCTGTAAGTGGTACATTCAGTGTGTAAGTACATGTAATATAAGAAATTGGATCTTTTAGTCCTAGTTTATTCATTAAGCTTTAATTATTGTTGCTGTTTGTCAATGCATGAATAAGTCAATATTGTGGAGGCTAAGGGAAAAAAGCTTTGAAGTAATTTTAAATATCAAATGAAGCACAGAAGTCAAGGACTGAAATGTGTCCCTGGGATTTAGTGACACAGATGAATGAAACTTAAGAGCAATTTCACTATAGTAGTAGGAAATAAGACAGTGCAGTAGATTGCTCACGGGGAGGTAAAGAACCGGAGACAAGGAATGTAGATTACATAACCATCATTCCTTAAAACGTTTGAAGGACTGTTTTTACCTGGCATTAAATGAAAAATTTTGATTGTGAAGGAAGTAGGGCACATCAGGTAGAAGAATTCTGGTGTTTAAAAGATGGAAAAGATAGGCAAATACTTAATACTGATACAGTTCCCAACAGACATGGGGAGTTGAACACGAGGAGAAAAGCACTAATGGATCAGACTAGGTTCCAAAGAAGGTAAACAGGTGGATCCACTAGCCTTGTATAAAGTCATTCCACTCTGTGTAGTTTCTCTCTCTTGATTGGACCCTGACTTAGACAAATTAAGGAAAGGAAATCAAGGATTTAGGAAAAGAGATGAATCCACAGCACCGTGGATAATCATCTTGTTACAGGCTCTGCTTATTTCCCCAGTTCCTTTCCCCCATCACTACAGAGATTCCAGTCATACTGATGTAAACACAACTTCCTAAACCTTCTCTGCTTTATTTCTAGATCTTAGCACCCTCTGCTTATAACTTTCTGAAGATACTAATTCTTAATGTAGTAATGTTCATTAGCCACTATGACGCTGTGCCCCTGTGTTCTCTCTGGGCACCTCTACAACTTGTCCTTCGCATTTGTCTTCTTCCCCAAATGAGATTTTAAGCTCTTTGAAGACAATGTCTGTATCTTAAGCATTCTTATATCTCCAGGAAATTACACCATACTTGGTATACAGTAGGCACTAAGCACATGTTTGTTAATTTTTGTGTATACTAAGGATATGTACTCCTAGAATAATAAAAAATAGTAACAGTAATAATAGGTAACATTGTAAGCATTTCCAGTCACCGTTTCTATATATTAACCACCTGAACCTCCACAGCAGTCCTGTAAACCTGTTATATTCTTAACTGTACCACTTGTAAGAAAAGTGACACAAAAAAGGGTTCAGTAACCTTCCCAAGGTCACACAGTGACTAAGTATTAGAGCCAGAATTTGAACCAGGAAACTGCTTAGAGACCCAAACTTCAATGTTCCTACCCTACACTATATTTCATCCCTGCATTGCAGGGAATATATGATATGGAACAGCAGCCACAAAATTGGTGGATATAAAAGGAATACTTAAAACTACATAAAAAATATATTTTGTGTAGACAAACACCAAAAGATATATGCAGTAATAATACCTACTAGTTATATATATATGTAGTAAAATTGGTGGTTTTCTCGACTTGCCCATCTTTGTATTACATTGCATTTTTATATTACTGTTTTTCTAAGAATAAAAATATGTTGAAAGGTAGCATTACAGGGGAAATATTTACCAGTTTTTGTAGCACTAAGCAAAATGGATTTAGCCTACCAATATCAGATTAAACCATATTATTTAATAGATGTTTACAATTTCTTTTCTAGAAGTCAGAATCAGTGAGTGAGACAGGGATCAATTCTAGGATGAAACAGTATGCCCTGATGATATACGAGGTGATACCTTAAAGCCCCAGATTACAGATTATAAAATATCTGCCCAGCCATTTCTTACCAAATGATACTCCATGGTCTCTTAATTGTTGGTCATGTTTCTTGGATAAATTGTAGATACTTGCTGCATAGATTTTCAAAGCTTTTGCATAATCTTGAATATTGAAAGGAATGATTTTAGAGTCTGCAAGTTCATAAACCAGCGCTCCTCGTAATTGTGCCACAGAAAGGTGTTTTTTAAATGTAGGGTCATAAAAATTCTCGACTAATTCAAATGTCTCGTAAATCGTATGGTATACCGGGTAGCTGCTGTACTTATCTGTTTTCTAAAAAAAACAACAGAGGGGGTGGGGGAGGACTGAATATAGACAGACATTAAATGTTCAAATTACAGAACTTTGTGTAATCATAATGGTTGTAGAAAAAAATACAACCATATGGTGCCCTGAGTTTTATCACAACGAAGCAAAAAAGTAACTAAAACTCTACTACCAAATGTTTACCAATTTTAAATGTTACCATTATTCACTTTGTAATTCATATAAATATATATAATGTATCTCTACGTAATTCACTCAAATACTGCTTCCTGAAAATTTTCCTTACTGTTTTTCTGATAACCACAATTAAGGAGTACATACTCCAATTGAGTATCAAGCACAGTTTGAAATTAGCAGCTGATTAGGAATGAAAACAAGTGTCTCTATGGCTGAAGGATTATGTGTTTAAGCATCTTCCCTGCCTTCCCAGTATATAACCGCATGCCATTTCAACTTTATCACGCAATTATGGACAATCATTACAAATGTAGTTAACCTGGTGGTATTCTGGGTAACAGGTCTGCCTCTCCTGACTTTAGTTTTCACCTAACTGTTACTTTGCTATCAGGTTAGCATTCTGCTGCTTTTGGTGTCACTAAAAGGAATCCCTGATTCGGTCTCTCTCCTAATATTCTGCTTTTAATCTGCATTCTTTCTAGGAACTAGATGACTTTATTTGGACGGATGACAGAATATAAAAGTGAACAGGCCTTGAAATAGAGAAAGCACATCTTTTATGTATTAAGTGTAATGAGTAGGAGTATGCCGGTTATTTCATTTATTGGGGGTTACTCTGGGGCTGTTTTTGCTTACATCATTGTTCTTAATTGTATTCTGGATAGTCAACTGCGAGGGATATGTTATACAAGCAAGAGGTTGGTATATTGCAATTGTGATTTGAAAATTTTTGAAGTCTGTGGCAAGTCTGAGCTTACTACTGAGATCTTTAGTTTGCTTATCATATAATTCATAACATAACAAGAAAACATGTCGGCATATCGAGGTACTTGCACATCACCAACGTGTCTGAGTGGCAATGGTACAAACCAGTCACAGTGCAGAACAGAAAAGAGGATCAAGTTAAAAATTAAGAGAAACTTATTTTATTCCCAAGAACCCTGGACTCAGATGACAGGCAGGAGTGAGAATGTAGAGAAGGGCTTTGACAATAAAGAATCTCAGCCTTGCATTGCTGGTGACTGAAACGTGTTCTCCTCCTGCATATTTTCCTCAGGAAAAGTACATCAGTGCCCATACAATTAGAAGAATGAGACTTTCCAACAAAGCCAGCATCAGGAAAGGGATGTGAACTACATGGTACTGATAACCAGCCAAGTACCCAGCATTATTCTGTCAACAACCATTTCAATGAATAACTCTAGCAGTAAAAATTTACAGAATCACCAAAGTACCTACTACTCATCTACAAAGGAACATGAGGTCTGTCTGTATCCCTGTAATTTTTCCCACATGCCCATCCAGGGTCTGGTACCAAAAATCAATTGACCGAATTCCTAACAGAATGAATGTGGATACATACTATGTACCCAAAATAAAAGGGCTTACCCTGTTCTTGGTGTAACGGGCTCTGCCTGAAGCAATACCAAGCCTCTGAAAATAAGCTTCAAAATCACTTCCAGATCCTAGCTTGCTGATTCTAGATACAGATATAAATAAATACACAGAGAAGTGCAGAAATAAGTAAACAATATGAAGTTAAGCAGATAAGACAACCCTGTCCCAAGAATAGCAAGGAATTGCATGGCACATTTATAAGATTTAGGAAATGGTCTACCTCCCCACTTTTCCATCATCTAATAGAAACTGGTGTGATGAACCTATAAATCTGTATTGACTACAGCCAGAGTTAGGCAGTGCCAGTAAAGACAGCAGCCTAGTGACTGGGCTCTCTGCTTTATTTTTAGCATTTGTAGTGTTTAGAGGGGAAACAAATAAGAGGCCCTTGCCCTCAGAGAACTATATAAGAAAACTGCCGTGAGGAAAGTGTACCTCAGATCTTATTTCACAATTCTAATTGTGCCTTATTTCACAAAACTAATTACAATGTATTTCTTTGCATATAATTGAGACCTCTATATACATAAGTAATGTTATACATATATGCAATATACATATATATATATATATATATATAACATAATGACATGGAAACACTTTCATAATGGTGAGTAAAACAGAATATGAAATTGCATATGCACTAAGATTATAACTATATATTTCCAAACAGATATGAAGATCAAGACCTTCAGAGTTTTTAAAATACTTTTTCTACTTTAGTACTCTTAATACTATTTTTAATAATGAACTTTTAATATTTTTAGTAAACATTTTTGTTGTTATAATGGAAATGCATCTAAATTTTCACAAGACTTAATTGGAATACGGAATGAAGCTATAAGCTGTCACCATGTGCTGATTTTAGAAATACTATTGCAGGAGAAAACAAATATAAAATAAACTCAAGAAAGTGGCTGTTGAATGAATGAGAATTAAAAAATAAACTAATACTTGTATGAAACCTAAATTGATTACAGGTTGAAGACACAATTTGGTGGTTGTTGATAGTGCCTCTAAAAGGAAATAATCCATCCTCTGTGTTTTACTTCATCATCATCTGAAGTTCTTTATTATTGTATTTAGGACACATCTGAAGGAAATTTTAGGCAAGAATGCAAAGCGATTTCTAATAATGTGGCAAAATAATTTTGACTGAAAATTTGCAAAACTAGATGTGTCTGCTTGCTTATAGGTTAAAAGAGTTGGCTGTTCTAGTTGACCAGCACATCAGGAAAGCTGCACAGAAGGATCCCTTGGGATTATCTTTTCTCAGACTTGATGAGAGATCTGAGAATTGCATGTCTGGAGAAACAAGAGGCAAACAGGAATTCATAATTTATCCTCTGGTAGAAAAGAGACATACAAGTAATTTACCTGGGAAAATTTTTATTTTCAGGTGAAGGGTCCTTTTCCAACCAGCTTTCATAAAGAGATTTGCTCTCAAAACCGTCATCAGGACTGGAGATCTGGGAAAAACAAACCATACTAGGAATTCCAAGCAGAAGCAACTAAATTATGCCAATAAATATCACATTAGTTAACATCAACTTCTAACTATATGTACATTTGTATATCATGTGCTTTATAGGAAAACATGCTTTTGCAAATGAGAAGAAAAAAAATCCAGCCCAAATTCTTGTTCATTTATGAAGCCAGCCTATCGATAGATTTGCCACGTACCTAGGATAAAGTTTCCTCCTTCTTTTGGTAAATTTTTTAATAGTTGCAGATTTATAACAAATGTCATCACTTTTAATGTTTGGCATCTTAGGTTTCTTTTAGTGGAAAGTCACTGGGGGAAAACTTGAGATATAATATTTACTTTAGCCAATTGCTTTTGTCTAAGAAGACCTACAAAGAAGCCTCAGAGCAGCCATCTGAGGTGAAGATGCGGAGCTTGAAACTGACGTGAAGTCCTGGCTTTGTAGGGTGCGTGGGGTGAGGGGGATCTGTTATTTTAGAAAGTCTCCTTATATTTAAACTAAGTTGGAATCTGATGGGCTTCAAAAAACTATGTAACCTGTGTATTATAAACATATTTTTATTACCCTCTTTAAAGGACACCGACAAACATACTTTTCTTTCTCCACTGGAAGAAAAACCGTGCTACATGGTGCAAGATCATGGACTGTGGAGTCTAACGTGTCTATTTTAGATCCAGATTATCACACATATTGGCTGAATTTTGTTTGTCAGTCTGATTTATTCAATTATGGACCCAAGGCAGACCCTCCTTAGGCAATTCAGAATTTATGCAATTCTGAAAGCATTATCACCTTAAGTGTATTGCTTCCCCTCTTTGAACCCTACTTTTCTTACCTGTGGAAATGGGGATAATGGTACCGATCTCAACCTAAACACCCTCTTCCCTCACATCTCTGGCCTTTATACAGAGTCGGGCATCGCTCCCCATCACACACAGTCCTCAGCTTAAAAACAGTCTCGGCACCCCACAGAGGCCTCCCTCCCACGCCAGCAGGCTGCCGCTGCAGGGATGCTCTGCTCGTTACCAGCCAATCGCCTGGGTTCTGCTCCTGCCAATGTGCAGTAGCTGAGCTCCTGCTCCAGTGCTCACGTCCTGCTCAGATCGAATCCCCTGCCAAATCCCCTTCATTCTCTGGCGTGAATTCATCTTGGGCTAGCGCTAACCAGAACTGTGTCCCTGTGCCCTGACCATCCTAGAACACACCCCTCTGTCTCAGCTATATGCACTGTCAGACATCAGATCAACACCTTTTCCGGTTTCTTGCCTTTGTCAGGCCACTGCCCTTCTCTCTAAGCCCAGCCCTCTCCACCACCTTCGCCCTGTCCTCATGCCACCAGCACAGTTTGACTATTTGTGCCAGCACACAATGGGGGGAGTTGATAACATTGTAATAATCACTTTACAGGAGAATAAAGAAGTCTTCTTTGGGTTTTAGTATGGCCATACATAAACATCTGGCTCTGTACAAAAGGGCACAGACCTTACTGGTCCTGAAATTCTTGTATCAAAGGCAGGAGCAATCGGGGGGGGGGGGGGGGGGCACAGCACAAAGCTTAAATACATGTGCTGAGACGGGGGTCTCCCATCAAGGATTTTTTTTACAGCTTGATGTCAGATGTTTTTAAGGGGCATTCCAGTGAACAGAACAAGGGCATAAGCTACCCAGTATGGTGAGAAGACTGTGATGGGAATGAGGAATCTCATTTGGGAGAACTAGTTTTTAAAGACACTAACAGTGTAAAGGAAAGAGCAAGATTAAGGGAGACTGGAAAATAGTACCTACAGCAAAGTGACAGCTACATCACACTGTCGTCTAAGTCAGACCTGCTTGAAAGAAACATTGCTGATCAAAGTCTTAGGGAACTATTTAAATGAAGTGCACAGACATTAAATGATTAGGTCATATAATTTTTAGAGATTCAGAGTACATTAGAGTTTTCAGAATACTTTTTATATTCATAATATAAATTTCTGTGTGATGAGTAAGCATGTGGAATTATGTCCATTTTACTTTTAGGCTTTCTACAGTTCAATCTGAATTATTCATGACACTGACATTGAGTGATCTTTCTAATGAACAAATATGATAATGTATAACCTTATTAAAGATTCTTTACTTTTTCCATCACCAGATTTCTGAAATGCTTGGCCTATTCGTCAGTTCCCATTACTTATCATCTTTCCGTGAACATCGTGGGGTTAGTTCATACGGAGCTGCCTGCCAGTCGGGCAGTAGGTTCTTTCATAGCTCCACATCATTTTTAGTATTGTGTCCGCTGCTGAGAATGCTTTCTCCCTTACTTTCACACCCTTCACTTTATAGTCCAAGCATGAATTATTCTGTCATTGTCATCTATGCTTCCCAACTTCTCTAGCCACTCCAGGATTTTAGGTCCTCTATTCCACAGTTGTTCTCTGTGGCATATGATATTCATTATTCTAGTGAATAATTCTTCATTTACAGGTCTGTATTCTCTCTAGACTACAAAGCATTTGGTTTCAGTGACCTGGTTGTTTTATCACTGTTTCTGCTGACATTTTTTTTTTTTTTTAGGGCCTGACATGTAGTAATCACTCAATAATACTTGTTAAATGAATGAATGAACAAATAGCCAAAGCAAGCTTTGAACCCAAGCCTTTTCCATGCCAGCTCACTGTTCTTTCTGCTAAATCAAAATGCCTCTGCCAGACGAAATAATATTTCCTATGCGTACAACAGGTATATGATTATAATAAGAACTATTATTAGAAAAAGAGACTAGAAATGCTATCTTTAGATTTAATTCACATAAGTAGTATATTAAAGATTTTATTCTAGCTTGTTTTTTATAAAAATCAGGTATGTCTGTCACCAGCTTAAAAACAATTAAGAAAAACAAGTGTTACTCACTTATCCATTCATCAGAAAACATTAAGATAGACCTACATATATACCTCTTTTGTCAGTTTATACACCAGTTGGTAAAGAAGGGGTGTACAGTCAACTCTGAGAGTGTAATTGCCTGAAAAATAAAACACCTATTTTATTACCTCCAAGTGAAATTACAATTTATATTTAACTCTAAATTTATTTTCTAATTACAAACAAGATATAATAGGCTTCAAATAGTCTTCACGAGTGAGAGAGGGTACAGTACCTTTTGGTCAGAAGAAGGTATAGGCAGACCCTGGCTGGTAGAGTGGCAGCTCCCACAGTAACTGTAAGGGTCATTCTTAAGGGGGACTTTGGCAAAGGAAGTGGTAAGGCTACAACATCTTATTCATTCAACAGAGTATATTAAAACAGACTACAGCATTTCAGTAGCTCTTGAGTATGTTCTGACATTTGCCTAGAAATAATTATACAATGAATGCCTAGAGACACAAATTTCATATGTCAGGTTCAAAAGGAAGTCTGAAGCTTCTGCTTACTTCAAATCGTTCCAATACACATAAAGTATTTGTGCATGAAACATTATGTAAAGTACATCTTCTGAAATATTTTAGCCAGATTCTTTTAATATCTCCTTAGAAAGCATGTGGTTAATATTAGGGTTTGAAGCAGTAATCTAAGATAGGCAAATATCAAATATACTAAAGAAATCAGGATTAATATCTTAGTTATGAAGCAATATTCCTTTGAATCATAATGATTTTCTCTGGGGTATAATAGAACAGAGATCTTATGAGGTATCTCATAAGAAGAGGATAATCTTAACTTACAAGTTGGAATTTACAGACCTAAAAGATGGTATACTGCTTAGTAACAACCTGAAATAAAATTTACCTTCTATAGCTGAATCTGAGTTTACATAAGCAATGCTTCTCTCCTGGAGTATTTTTGTGTTCTCCTGTATAGTTGAAGCAAAGCTGTTACTTAATTCACAGTATTTGCAATTGTGAAATATAAACAAAGTAAGTTAATTTTGTATGAAAGTGGTCTACAAATACCTTTATGAATCAAATACCCATGCCTGTGATCATAACTTCTGAGAAAATACTGATAATGGGTTAACAACAGTAACGCAATTAAAATTGAAAAACTAGTACAATGCTGTAGCTACTATTTACTGCAATATCAGGGAGCCCTGCACCAGAATTTGAAAGAGTGGGTCCCACCCCAGATCTACGGAGTCAGGTTGCCGAACATATGGCCTGGAAATCTGCATTGTCTAAAAGTTATTCCTAGCAATCCTCAGATACACTGACTTTGAGATCCTTGGAGATCAGATACCCAAGTAAGTGTATTATTTTCAAAGTAATGACAAAAAGAACAGAAAAAGGAGAGGAAGATAGAGAAAATACTACAGTAGAAAAGGAAGGACATCAGGACAGACAAGTCTGTCTCTCACACACACATCCAAGAAAGACAAAGTGGAGAAAGACTCGTGTCACACGCAGACGGGAGTATGGTACACAGTGCTTTATACTTCCCTCTCTCTCCACTTGCTACCATATAAGAACATGCTACAGTAAAAACATGTAAAGCTGTGAAGGATCACAGTACTAATGAAGACTGTCGCCTGCACTTGCCCACACAGGCTGGACGACAGCTGCCCTTGCTCTAGATGAAGATAGAGTTGGGGTCTCCATTGTAACAGATTTACAGTGGAAATAAAGATTGTTTAACTATAAAGAGGGCAAGAATGCTGCTGAGTATGATGAAGAATCTGGAAACAGTGCTGAAATTGTCTTTTTCAATTTATTTAAATTAATGCAAAGCAAATTTATCATTTTATATCTTAGATTTCTTTGCTCTTTATATCAAGCTGCTAAAATTATAGAGACGTACTTATATATATGTATTCAAAAGAAATTACATGTCTCAAAGTAAGTGACCTTAATGAATGAAATTTGGTTCAACTAATGTTGACTTCCAAAAGGTGTATTCATAATACCAATGTATTAATACAACTCTGCAGTATAAATGGAAGCAAAGGATACCTGATATCAGACAAGTAACTATATGTGATTTTACCCCCATATTTACTTAATTCATATTAAGTTAAAGAAAGAGAAGGAAAGCTTTTTAAAAACAAGACACATGACAAGAAGTATATGACATGTTTTAAAGTGATTCTATAAACTCTGGACTTATAAAAGATAAATAGAGAATGCTGGAGGGAGATTAAGTGCTTATTTAATGCCCCCCTGACTTTATAAAAATGTATGAGCTTACCTTGTATATTAAAGAATTTAGTTACGACAAAGAGGCTAAGGACAGAAGGTAAAAAAGGGGCCTAAGAGAGACACTTAAAGCATTAAGAACCAGTGACAAATGAAAATCAATCATACATCATGAAAAAAATACATCTCTGAAACTGTAAAGTTAAGAAAACTTACTAAAATAATTCAGTTAACAAAATTATCATTCTCAACAATAAGGCACTTATTTTTTATGAATGGTAAAAATATATCTATGATCTCAATTTTATATGGGCTCTGTAAAATGTGAAATTAAAATCAAAAAGTATAGTCATCATAAAAGAACATCATATGTTTTCTTAGGAAATTTCCAAGGAAACTTCAAAAACTTGAAAATTAACCCCCAAGGATCTTTATCAGTTTTTATATAATTCACTTGTCAGAAACAGCTTGCTAGTTTTCATCATTTTCTGAGCTTACAGACTTTATTTTTCACAAAGCAAATACAAATAGAAAACAATGTATTTTGACAATAATGAATAAATTCATAGTCCAGTTATTAAGAGGGTATTCTGTTTTGCGAACCTGATGTGAAAGTAAAAACAAACTATGTCTTAAATTCTCTTGAGTCTTTCTCCAAATTAAAACCATGTTAGGTGACAGTATCTACTTATGATCATCCTGAGATACATACTATTTGTTCTCTGTGGACCAAAAAAGATAACAAGTACCTTCTCTGTCTTATTTACCTCAGCCCATTCTGTGGAACCCAGAAGTCCAAATTCTTCTGCATCCCAGCTGGCAAAAATGATAGTTCTTCTAGGTCTCCAGCCTGTAATAATTGTTAACATCCATAGTTAGGTACACATGCCCAAAAAAAATAAAGAAAAATTAAATGAGTCAGTTTTTGTCATCAACTATCAAAGAAATACTATTTACCTCTACTCATTAGTTTTCCAAAACTCTGGACAATTTCTTGCAAAACAGCGGTCCCACTAGTTGGGTCAATAGCTCCGAACACCCAGGAGTCCCGGTGACCTCCCAGAATAACATACCTGTCTGGGAAAGAATGTGTTCAAAAGGACTACACCTCTGCATTATAAATCGTTGTAATTTATGCTTTTAAACTAAACTTCCTCTTGGTTGAATTCCCTCCACAGAAAAAATAAACAGTAGAAGTCTCTGCTATAAATAGAGTCTTCATTAGAGCTGTACATCTGTTTTCAAATTTAGTTTCAATTTCTTATCATCAGCCAGCAAAAAAGACAATCTGTTGTTGGCTAAAATGTATTTTCTCATACTTTCTTAATCTTTAAAAAACAAAATTTAAAAATTCACTGACTCACCAGGTTCCACAGATCCTCTGATAGTTCCAATTACATTGTAAATCCTTGTAATTTTATTGGTGTTATAAACATGCATTCTAACCTTCCTAGGATTTCAAAGGGAATAAATTACTTCACATAGAGCATTCTGTCTAACAGTTTTCTTCCCAGTGCTATTATGAAAAATATCAAAGGTACAGAAAACTGTACAATTGGAAAATGAATTTCCATATGTCCATCACCTGAATTTGATCACTGTTAATATAGTTGAGCCATTTAGAAGTTGCAGACATCATGACATTTTATTTCTAAGTACTTAAACACACACCTTAAAGTCAAATTTTAAGAAATCAATGTCAGTATTTTATATTCCACCTCCCACATAGCTATATTGTTGATATTTAAAATACTGTACTATTCTAAATGTCTTGGGTATTTATTCTAAAATTTTTCAATATGCCATATTAATTACAAAAATAAGATCGACAGCCCATTATGTATTAAGAGACAAACAAGCATACTTTTAAATGTGTCTTTGTATTTTACATTAATTCCTGCTACTCAGTAACTTAAACACTATTGAAGTAGAATGTTGGTACATTGTTAAGGAGCTGGCTGAGTGCTGCTGAATAGAAACAAGATAAATTCTATTGTAAAATGGGAATTTGGGAAGCCCCTGCTAAAATGTACAAGAAACCTACATAATGAAACTTGTCCAGGTCATCACCGTTGATTCTGATTTGGGCCAGACTTTTAAATATTCATTTGTGAATTGCAGTTAACAAAATCAGAATTCAAGGGAAAATACAATCAAGCTCAGGAAAAAAAAAAATGCTATTCACATTTTATGAATCCAAAATGACATGGGAAAATGCTGATCCTCTTTTCACAAGGAAAAAATTCAGTCTTTATGGGGGTCAGGGAATCGCAACAGCTTCTAATTTGTGGTTATTTTTTTCATGGAAGAGCCAACAAGCTGTCAATCCTGCACATTGTTAAGAACAGATTCTGGTTTTTCCCTCCAAAAATACATTATGCTTCTGAATGTATATTTAATACATGTACAGTATTCAACAAAAAGTACCTTTAGGGGGAAACTGATCAATGGATGTTTCTACATTTTAAGATATTAAGGTGAAGGATTTATTTTTGCGATTGAGAAGAAAAACTTTAATAGCAAAAAAGCAGAAACATTTTTTAGTAGCATGTGTTTCTAAAAATATGAGCCAAAGATCAATTAGTAAGAAACCCAAGTTCATTTATGTTATGTGACTACTGTAACAAATAAGGAAGGAGAAAAAAGTTATTTTAACTTAGACATGAAAATAAACATAGGCTATTTGCTCAGAGTCTCAAAGAAGCTCATCCACATCTTTAATCCCTGTGTCTTTCTAATTTTTAGTATCACTGCCTTCAGAAGTCCCTAAAAGAATAGCTGTTTCCCTATTAACACTTCAAACTTATCATGTTCAAAACTGAATTGTATATGTACACTCCACACGACAGGGATCTTAGCCTGTTTTGTTTGCTGCTGAATCCCCAGTACCCAGGAAGTTACCTGGGTTACAGTACATGCTCAATAAATATTTATGTGAAATGAATGAATACACTTCATTTATGAAATGAAGGAAAAATTGAAAAACCCAGCTCATGTATCAAAAGCACCTCTGCCTATGAGTCTTTGACTAGCCTACTTTATAACTTTATAAGGACAGAAGTTACCTTGTGGAAACATGAAGGGAATGCAGGTAATTCATGTCCACTGAGACATACAATCTGTCTGGTGAATGTTCAATTGACTTCACTCCCCCAGTGTGGAAGAAATCAGTTTTTCTGCTATTAAATACATTCATTTCAGCATTCTTGGTCTTTTTCTTTTTGTATGATCTTCGGATTCTTCCTTGAACCAATTTTAACCCCTTTTTGATTCCCTTAAAGTCATGAATTAAAATTGTGACACATGTTCATTTTATACTTGTATAAGAATCATGGTCTTACTGTATAAAAAAAATCATCCTTTATCATTTCTGGAAATCCCACTGAGATGTACAATGGACTCATCTCAGAGAACCAGGTATGGGCAGCTTAAACCTAGACATTTCTTCTTTTGGTTAGGGTAAGTCCCAAACGGCAATAAAACTTAAACTTTGCTGATTCTCAGTATCTCTCCATATTTTTTCCTGATTTTGTGTTCTGTTTATTTTTCTAGTTTGCTTATGGCAGAATTAATCCCCACTGGTGGCAGCAACAGTTAGGAATTTGGTTTTATGTCTTGACATTTGGCAATCTCTGTTAAGTGGGTAATAGATTATCAAGATCCCTTTGGGGTGAGAAATGACAGAAAAGCTGGTTTTGGTGATTTTTTTTGTGTGTAGTTGTCCATTGTGAGCTCAAATCAACTAAGAATTTTGTACCCACAGTGAAGCTTTTTGATATCTAGAACAGGAAATTTTTGTTTCTGAACTTAGTCTTCAACTGTGACAGAAATGGTAGAACTGAAGCTATGTTGTCTGTTTTCTCTGTTCTCTTATGCTTGTAAATCAGAAAGGCCTTTATCTTTCAGGGTATATATGGTTTTCTTACCTCTGGAGGGTATTAGTAAATTAGATAATACATTTTCTTATATTAAAGGAATTTATAATAATGATAATGGTAAATGTTTTGATCGTTACAGTAGTTATGTGCTTACCCATTTCAATTCATCTAACTTACCCACACAGTTAAGTCATCAATAATATTGGTTCCTTTCCTCTCTTTTATCCTCTCCTGTAAGTTAACCTAGTGTTTCCCATGTATATAGCATTTTGAAAGCTATTTGAAAAACTGTTTTAAATCTTTATGTGAAATGGGAGATTAAAATGTTAAACCTATAACTCAAATGCAGTCATTTCTGAGACTTTATGAAGCAAATATTGTGACATCACTATTGAAAGAAGAAATTGATACATCATTCTGTAAGTACTTATTACGTGATATAAAATGATCAAATGCTTTGAAAAATGAGAAAAAGATAAGCAAAATATACTTGGCAGAACAGTTATCTTGACAGTTTTCCATTAAACATAAAAGTTTTCCAGACCATTAATTAAAATTACCTGACATGCCCTATAAAGCCAGGCCCGATATTGTAATCCACATTAAGGCCCCCCTTCCAGCTCTCATCTGGCGGAGCAATTCCTCCCATATGCCTGTCCAGAGAAAATTAAAACAACAGAAAAAGTCTGAGTGTTGCAGTTTCTTAGGGGGAACAAACTTTAATGATGAGATAGTTCATTCACATTTTTATCACATATTTATTGAACATTTACTAAGTGCCAGATACTGTCACAATTCCCTTCCTTCATGAAACTTGTAATTTAGGGAGAGTCTTAACTGAGATAAATAAGTAAAATATTTAATGTTAGTATTAAGAGCTAAGGAGGGAAAAAAACACAATAGTGAGGGAACATGGGAAGTATCAGCCTCTGTACTGACTTTAATTATGTAAGGAAGCATGATGTCCAAGAAATCCTGAAAAGAGGAAATTCATGACTGTGTTAAAGAGAAGCAAGTAACTGCTAGAGAAGCTGCTGATATAGAAAGCACTCAAAGCAATTATTATATTGTACTGGTACAGACATTTAAAAAATAGAAGTTTGGAGATTTGTAAAGGAACATGTTATAGAATGCAACAGCAAACATTATTTGAATGTTTACTCCATTCCGGATACCTTAAATGATTCCATAGATCTATCCACTTCTCATAATAACCCTATTAGGGATAAACTGTTACTCTCATTTTACAGATAAGGAAATTGAACTAGAGAAAGATTAAGTAACTGGTCCAAGTTCACACACCTAGTAAGTGGTGGGCATTATCATTTTCAAAATGCAGGTTAAGTACAAATATCAAATGAATAACTAAGAAAGTCCAACTACTTAGAAATCTCAAATCATTACTTTAATTTTTGGACATACTTCGGCACTTGAGACTTTCGTTCGTAGTTATGTTTTCTTACTATTTCTTAGTCACTAAACTGACTGCCCTTCTCTTCTAGAATAAAAAGCTGTACTCTGTTATTTCTACTTAGGACCTATTTTTGATACCAGCCTTTACTTTTTTAAACTCTTTTCCTACTTTGTTTATTTTTATATTTTAAGATGTTTTTTATTGAGGTATAATTGATATAACATTATGTTGGTTTCAGGTATGACAAGAACTGACTTTTAACATAACTAGGTTACATTGGTTTCAGGTGAGAAAATGGACACATTCGTGCAAAATATCTTAATCACATATCCAATGAGAAAACTCTACCGTAATAATATTTCCGCATCATTATATCCAATGGGATGTACAGGGATTTTAGGAATTCCCACGCCTTCTTCAACATCAAGTCTAAAGGTGTACTCTGCAAAAATCAGTTGCATAAAATGAAAACAATTAGAACCTAAGCAAGGCATACAAAGGAATTTTTTTCTTACTATTGCAGATTTGCTATCCCCTTGAAATTATGTCAGAATTTAAAGTTCCCCATGAGTCAATCAATGATTGTTTCATCTAATACAGCCTATTTAATTCAATAGTAAGAAATTAAATCATTTAGCATAAAATCAATTATAGGGATTATAGATTCCCAGGTTTGTTTCGATACTTCACAAAGTTCTCTTGAATTCTACAAGAATATTTTATTGCCTCAGAGTATCTTGAATCTTAGAGAAGCTTCAGTTAACAAGTTGTCCAGAAAAGGTGTCCCAGATTCTGAAACTAGACATGACTGGAAAAGGGTGGAATTTAGGGGATCGTGGAACTAGAGGATAAAGATCTTACTCAAAACTAGCACACTAGTCCCTCTTTAAAGGAAGCTGGGAAGGTATTGTCAGGCTTAAAACCTCCCTGGGATTTTGGCTTTCAGGGAAAATGAAGTTGTGGCACACGAAAGCATCGATCTTAGAAAAAAGGAAGGATTCAAACAAACAACTTCAGATTCCACTTTAAGAAGCCAGAAAAAGAAGAGCAAATAAGGCAAAAAATGAGCAGAAGAAAGGACATAATAAAGATCACAGCAGAAATCTAAAAAATAAGAAATAGAAAAATGGTAAGGATTACCAATGAAACCCAAAACAAGTTCTCTGACATCAATAAAATGGATAGATCTCTAGCAAGACAGTTCAGGAAAAAAAAAAACAGAAAAAAGAAAAGAAACATAAATTGCCAATGTCAGGAATAATGAGACTTACACTCCAGTTCCTGCAGACTGAAAAAAAAGAAGAAACTATTATGAACAACTCTATCCAATAAAACTTGGATAACTGGACAAAATCCTTGAAAGATACGAATTACCAAAAATCACTCAAGAATAAATGGATAACCTAAAGAGCTATATACTAAAAGAAATTAAATTTTTAATTTAAAATATTCCTACCAACAGAACTTCAGACCCAAATGGATTTGCTGGGGAATTTTACCAAACGTTTGCAGACAAAAATTAAATCCATACTATATAAACTCTTGCAGAAAAATAAAGATGAAATGGGTCCCAACTCATTATTTCTCTGATACCAAACTGAGACAAACTTATTACAAGAAAATAAATCTATAGGCTGATATTCCTTATGACTAAAGACAGACATATTCTTAACAAAATTTTAGCACAAATCCAACAATATAACCACAATACATACGAGGACAATACACTGCAACCAAGTAGAGTTTATCCCAGGATGACAGTATTTCAACACTGAAAAGCTGTCAGTGTAATTCAACAAAAATAGATAATAGATCATCTCAAAAGATGCAGTAAAAGCACTTGACAAAATCCACTGTACATTCCTAGATAAATGTGCTATGATAAAAACTCTTAGCACATTATGACAGAAGTGAGTGAACTCCCTCAATCTGATGAAAAGAATCTATCAAAACTCTGCAGCTACTATCCTACTTAACAGAGAAAGACTGGACGGTGTTCTCCTTGAGGCAGGAACAAGGTTAGGACTTCTACTCTAACACCCTTTTTCTAAAAATGTGCTAGTCAGTACAATAAAGCAAGAAAAAGAAAGAAAAGGCATCTAGACTGGAAATAAAGAAACAAAATTGTGTCTTCACTTGCAGATGACATCATCATCTATGTAAAAACTCTGGAGTATCCACAAAAACCTAACAGAACTAATTAGTGAGTTTAACATGCTTACAGGATACAAGGTCAATGTATTTCTTCTAGAAACAGAATAGTATTTCAAACTACTGGCAATAAACAATAGGCAACTGCAATTTAAAATGTAATTAAAAATAACAAAACTATGAAATGCATTTGAATGTGAAAAAAGCTGTGCATGCACTGGGTTGTGTGTGGGGGTGGGGGGTGGAACTTTGATACTTTGGGTGAATGTAATAACCACAATGTTGCTCATATGAAACCTTTATAAGATTGTATATCAATGATACCTTAATTAAAATATATATATATATACACATACACACACACACACATATATATAAAAGAAAAAAGATGTGCATGATCTGGACAGTGAAACTATAAACATGTTGAGAGACATTAAAGAATAAGTAAGTACAAAGCTGCACCATGTTCAAGGATCAAAAGAGTTAATATTTTTTAAGATGTCAGTTCTCTTCAAACTGACCTATAGATTTTAATTATAGTCTCAAACTACCAGGAGGTCTTTTGTTGTAAGTCATAAGCTGATTCTAAAATCCACATGGAAAGGGCCTGGAATAGCCACAGAACTTTGAGAAAGAATTGTAACTCAGAGGCTTAGATCTCTACTAGAAGGTAAAGTAAAAAGATTGACTATACTGTTAGCTACTAGCTCACTCACTCACTGCTGCCGAATGTAAAATGGTACAATCACTTTGGAAAACAATTTGAAATTTTCTTTAAAAAATATTCATACATCATATTACCCAGTCATCCCATGTCTGTGTATTTTTCCAAAAGAAATAAAAGCATATGCACATACACATATAACAACTGTTTTTGGCAGCTTTATGTACAATAAATAGCCCCAAAGCTGAAAACAACCCAAATGTCTATCAGTGTGTAAATGAATAAATAAGCTGTAGTGTATCCATTTGATGGGATACTACCAGCAAAAAAAAAAGGAATGAACTATTTGACCCAGACATCATACAGGTGGATCTCAAAATAATTATACTGACTCAAAACAGATCAGTGGTTGCCTAGGGATTAACAAGGAAGGGGCAGGAAGGCTTGGGGAGAAAGAAATACAAAAAGGTGAGAGGAAATTGTTTTGGATAATGGGTATGTTCACTATCTTGAGTGTAGAGGCAGTGACAGAGGTGTCAAAAGTTCTCACATTTTACATATTTAATAACACCAAAAAACTCACTGGATTTTTACAAATACAAATGTATGATCTAGAAAAGGATAAAATCACTAGGCGATTCAGAAACCTAAGTTCTATTTTGGTCAGAGAATTCTCACTTTGGGTATGTGGGTGCAAGTTCTGTGTTTCTAAACTTCTACTATACTAAAAAGAGGGAATCCAACTGACCCTTTTCTCGCCATGTCTACACCTCATAAAAATTTTAAATTAAAATAACACAAGGGAAACGTTTTTTTTTCCAATTCTAGCAATAATCAGAAATATTCTAATGGCACACAATTTTAATGTTATTCTGTAGATGCTTCATCTTATGCCTTCCATAAGAGGAAGTAGTATTTTTGCAAAACAGGGTGAACCGTAACAGGCTCCCCTATTACCTTTAGCTGGATAGCCTGGAGTGAGTGGGTCACCAGCACCATTCAAATTTAATACATTCCCTCTCTGGGCTGCAGTGCCAGGAAGGTTCCATCCTTTGGGATATGGCTGCACCTCAGGGGCAAAGTAGTCAGCTGGATCTGAGTACAAGATGATGCCTATGGCGCCAGCTGACATGGCATTTTTAACCTGCAGAGGAATGTGTAATCCATAATGTAGAAATGACAAATGACTGACAAGACAGTCAATTTAATAACGTAGGGAAATTTAGACACTGCTTTTTATCAAGTTGTTACACATTCAGTTCTCTTTGCCTTGAATACAATTTCTAGTAGACCTGACAACTCTCATTGACAGCTTCAAAAAAGTTATTGCCTCTTCCGTGAAATATTCCTATTGCCCCTAAAATTGCAAAATTAATGTCCCCCATCTTTGAACTTCTTCTATATTTTGTATGTATTTCTATAATAGGATCGGTCATAGGACTTTAAAATATCTTTTAAATATCTTCCTCCCCTACTAAACTAAGGGTGTTTTTGAGAACAGGGACCATATCTTACTCACTTTTAACTATCCACCCTCCTAAATCTGGCCTATCATAAACACTCTACAAATATTTGTGGAAATAAACTAATCTAAAACTCCATTCAGAACAGTCATAGTGTTTGGAAAATTGCCCACAGAAGTCTGTAAATACTTTTCTAATGTCAACTGAATAGGAAAATTTATCCTGTTAGATACTGAATTCTTCATACCAGAAGTATTACAGCAAAAAATAGATAAAACCATCAGTCTTGATTAACTAAAACGCATTTCAATATTCAGAATACACTTTTCTGTATTAGCGGGAGTACAATTTGTCACGTTTTTGAAGGGCAACTTGATGATGCTTTTCAAGTTTCTGAAAGAATATACACTGATTCAGCCATGCAATTTCAAGGTGTCTATACTAGAAAAAATTTCACAAATGTTAGACACATATGGATAAAGATGTTCACAATGGATTTGTGAAAGTAATAAATTCAAGCCAACCGTCCGTCAACAGAGGAATGGTTAAACTGCTTATCAATTCTGCAAAATTCTATACACCATCTAAAATAGTATTTACTTAATTAACATTTATATAAAAGTAGAAAAAAACAGTCACTAGCCTAAATGCTCTTACCCATAAAGTCATTTAACCCTAATAAGGACTCTGAGATTAGTGCTATTATTAGCATTTCCATTTTATATATGTAAAAACACTGGAACGGAGTAGTTAAATAACTTGCTCATGATAAAAGATCTAGAGCCTAGGAAGCTCAGACTAGACCAGAACCCAGCCTCTATGGATCTACACCTCCCTCTCTTAACCAGATTATACGACTCTCAATGTACTGACATGAAGGAATGACTACGAGCTGCTACTGAGGAAAACATAAAGCTGTACAGGATGTAATGTATGATGCCTTCTTTGTGGGAAAAAAATGTAAAATTAACATATAGAACCATTTATATTCATATTTCACAGAATTAGGTCTGGAAAGAGCAGTTAAGATTATGTGGGCAATGAAGTTGGTAATGTAGGGGAGCTTTTCATTTTTTAGTTTACATAAAATTTCCTTCAATTGAATTTTTAAAAAGCAAACTTTGCTTTTGTAATAAAAATAACTTTCCTTTCTAGCTACATAAGTAACATAAGAACAGGATTTTCTATGTAACCATAGCAAATTGCAAAATATTCGTGTACTTTTAAAGGAATTTTGAAAAACATGATGCATGCTGGTCATTTACATTTCTAGCATAAATTGTATTTTCTTCCCCCAAGAAAAGCAAACAACACATTACTTTATTTCCTCTGAAGATTTTTCCATATCGTGCAATAACAATCTTTCCAGTGCAGTTGATGTTCATCTCTCTTTCTAATTTGAAAAAATCCTGAGTCCGAGCATAGTTTACATAAATAAGCTCTCCCTGTAGGGAAAATAAAAAAGGAAAAAAAATACATAATACTGCTAGATGCTCCACATCACTAATCATCAGGGAAATGCAAATTAAAACCACAATGAAATATCACCTCACAACAGTAAGGATGGCCAGCATTGAAAAGACAAAGAATAACAAATGCTGGCGAGGATGTGGAGAAAGGGGAACCCTCCTACATCGCTGGTGGGAACGTAAGCTAGTTCAACCATTGTGGAAAGCAATATGGAGGTTCCTCAGAAAACTAAAAGTAGAAATAACATTTGACCCCAGAATCCCACTCCTTGGAATTTACCCAAAGAATACAACTTCTCAGATTCAAAAAGACATATGCACCCCTATGTTTATC